AAAAAAAAAAAAAGTATTTTTGGCAAGTTTGTCAGGTACTAGGGTCCTCAACTATTTTTCATGAAGGGCCAAATTCCACTAGAACCTCAAAGCCAAGGTCCACAGTACATGAAAAAAATTGCCCCAGTTGTCAAATCAGCTGTTTTTTTCATATACAGTAAACCTTGTGTTTGGGGATTGACTGCAGTGGGTTCAGTTGTATTTTAATCTGCATCTAAACTGCATCCAACCACCATCCACCAACTGCTGACAACCACTCTAGTCCATCTAGAGTTCACTCTTCATCAACAGGTTCCTTAACTGGTCAGGGGTCTTGCAAACAATCTCATAACGGAACAAGACCACTTCAGCCAGGGCATGCCAAGCTCCTCCAATCAGCTTAAAGCTTTACGTCGGTGTGATGCTGATGCAAACATTAACACACTTTAATCCCTGCTTTGACCATGTCAAACCACAAAATACTTCAATATGGACGCACTCCCTCCAGTATACAGCAATGAATTTTCATAGCTTATAAAACAAAGAGCTTAGAGTCATGACAAAATACAACTAAGAATAGTGTAAAATTCCTTGAGTTTATTGCTTGTGTATGATGACATGGTTATTTTTCTGAATGTGGCCAACAGCGCCCTCCTTGGGTCTCCAGCCAAACAGCACCCATTTAATTCCCAATAACTTCCCCCTGTAGCGTAGGGCGTTAAGTACCCTGCAACGAAATACTCCTCAAACAGCACACAAAGGGCACCACACAATGCTCTGGATTTTACCGGAAAGGAGCGGTAGAGCTGGACTGTCTATCGCTGCTATACGAGATGGGATACACAGAACCAAAAGAAACATTTATGTGGTGGTAATGGAAAAAGGAAAAAAAGAAAAAAAAAAAAAAAGAGGGAAAAATATCAAGAAGTGGACCAAAACCTATGGTTTCCCCAAAACAAACTAGCGCGCTGATCAGTGAATGATTATATTGGGATGAATCACAGGGCCTGCAGACAGAGACTATGTAAAGTAGAGAATATGAGCGGTGAATGTGACCTTCACTTCACTCCCTTCGCTGTTCCTGCCGACATGCGGAGCCCTGCTTTCACTGTTAGGATGTGCCTTATGCAGTACGGCGGGTTTCTCTGTAGGGACGTGCAATCTCTCCTGCGACTGAATAAATACTCTAAATAGAGCTGGTCGGGGGGGGGGAGGGGGTTGCTGTTACGAGGAGGCGGAGGATGCCTCAGCCTTTGTCACTTGCGTCTCCATAGTGCCGGACTCTGGGGGTGCGCCCCCGTCACTGGGGGGGCGAGGAGAGACTGCGGTGGCGACGGCGTCCAGAATCAGAGCAGCTGCCGGATCAGCCAGACCCGGAACAGCGGGCGGCGGGAGCGACAGGTCCGAGACTAGGGGCAGCCGCGTGGCCAGCTGGGGGGGCAGCATGGTGGGCATGGGAAGCGGGCCCAAGCCCGACAGGCTCAGGGGCGGCAGGGAGGTGAGGGGAGGCAGGCCTGCAGGACGAGAGCATAGCAAGGAGCCAATAACGCATCGCTGCCTCAAAATACCTCTATGGAGCAGCGTTTCTCAATCCAATTCATGGGGAACCTCAGGCAGTCCACATTTTTGCTCCCTCCCAGGCAGTCCACATTTTTGCTCCCTCCCAGGCAGTCCACATTTTTGCTCCCTCCCAGGCAGTCCACCATTTTTCTTCCCCCCCC